GGCATTCAAATTAGGAAGAAAGGAGTCAAATTAGACTTGTTTGTAGACAATATGATATACTCCACCAAAAATACTGTTAGAACTGATAGATGAATTCAATAAAGTCGCAGGATACAAAATAAGTGTGAAAAAATCAGTAGTAAAAAAAATCAAGAATGCAATCCTATTTACAAAAGCTACCAAAAAAATTAAATACCTAAGAACAAATTTAACCAAAGAGATGAAAGATACCTACAATGAAAGCTAAAAATCACTGATGAAAAAAATTGAAGAGGACACACACACAAAATGGAGAGCTATCTCATGCTTATGGATTAGAAGAATTAATATTATTAAAATGTCGATACTATCCAGAGCAAGTTACAGATTCAATACACTCTCTATCAAAATACCAATGGCATTCTTCACAGAAATAGAAAAACGATCCTAAAATGGGAATGGAACCACAAAAGACCCTAAGTTGCCAAAGAAATCCAGAGTAAAAAGAATTAAGCTGGAGGCATCACACTACTTGGTTTCAAAATATACTACAAATCCATAGTAACCAAAGCAGCATTGTGCTGGCATACAAATCCATAGTAACCAAAGCAGCATTGTGCTGGCATACAAACAGACACATAAAACAATGTACCAGAGTAAAAAACCCTGAAATCAATCCATGCATTCATAGTCAACTCATTTTTTACAAAGGTGTCATGAACATACACTGGGAAAAGAACAGACTGTTTAATAAATAGTGCTGGGAAAACTGTATAACTATAAGCAGAAAATGAAACTAGACCCCTATCTCTCACCAAATACAAAAATCAAATCAAAATGGATTAAAGACTTAAATCTAATTCCTGAAACTATGTGACTATTGGAAGAAAACATTGGTGAACTGCTTCAGGACATTGCTCTGGGCAAAGACTTCTGGGGTAAAAACCTCAAAAGCACAGGCAACAAAAACAAAAAATAGACAAACGGGATTACATGAAGGTAAAAAGCTTTTGCATAGCAAACAAATCAACAAAGTAAAGAGACAACCCACAGAATAGGAGAAAATATTTGCAAACTACCCATCTATCAATGGATCAATAATAAAAAAAATCATAAACTCAAAAAGCTCAATAGCAAAAATTTGATTTTAAAATGGGCCAAAGACCTAAAGAGATATTTCTCAAAAAAAAGACATGCAAATGGACAATAGATATATGAGAAATTGCTCAACATTACTAATCACCAGGGAAATGCAAATCAAAACCACAATGAGATATCATCACACCCAAGTCAAAATGGTTTTTATCAAAAAGGAAATATAAGAAATGTTGGAGAGGATGCTCAGAAAGGGGAACAATCGGACATTGTTAGTGGGAATATAAATTAGTACAGCCATCATGGAAAACAGTATAGAGGTTCCTCAACAAACTAAAAATAAAACTACCATTTGATCCAGTCCTCCCACTACTGTACATATGTCCAAAAGAAAGGAAATCAGTGTATTGAAGAGATACCTGCACTCCCATGTTTATTGCAGCACTGTTCACAATAGCCAAGATATGGAATCAACCTAAGTGCTCATCAATGAATATATAGAAAATATTGTGAAATATATATTTGGTCTTTGACCCCATTTCCTGGCATAAAACTCCTAAATTTTTTTCCAGGTTATTTTCCCCCCACCCCTGCCCATGGTCATCCTTATGTGGAAACTTCAACTGTCTTTTCCCAGAAGGGCCATCTGCTATCAGTCTGATTCTGAAATCCATATGGGTGTGCTGAATTCTAAGCAACCCATCTGCAACCCTGGGGTTAGCTGCTGTGGGTGAAGCATGCCCCAGATCAAGGAGAAGAAAGAGGAAAAAGAAATGCTTTGTTAGTGGCTGCATTCTGCCTCTCCAAGAAGCTATTCCTGTCGTTTGTGACAAATATGGGACAAATCATGGCCAGATGTGAAGGCACCATTTGCAGTGGGCTTGGACTGCCTGGGTCCACAACCCATCGCTAGATTGATTTGCCAGCCTGATGGGGATGACCTTCCTCCCAGGGTTTCACTCTCCCCAGCAGTAAAATGGGTATGACCAGAATAACAGAGCCCATACTGTGAGATTGAGGGAAGATGAACCAGGTAACCCAGAGTAAATCCTACTGCTGCTTCAGAGACAAGGCTTCATCTTTTTGCTGCTTCATGGTAATGCACTGAGTGGTTGCTGCCACTCTGATTTGCAGAAGATAAGTAAATATGGCTTGTATGTTTACACTTTTGACTCAGGCTCTAAATATCCATTGTCTGCCCCCACCACCACCACCACTTTTTGTGCCCTTAAGACAAAAACCTCATTCTATGCACTCATTAATCCATTACTTCAAAAATGCTTCCTGGACACCCCTTCCATGAATGCTAATCACAATAATGGGCCCTGAGCAACTTGCAGTACATGGCAGACTGGGTATGGTATGGCCAGAGTCAAGGGGGAGGGGGTTTGCGAAAATATTCACCAATACAGTTATGAACTAGGAAAACTAGATTTCTTAAAGGAAAGATGTATTAAAGGGCACACGGGGCAGGAAAACAGCGAGAATGCTGTGTGCTACCAACTCCTAAAATCTTTAGAAACTTCACAGTGATGTTTTTTTGTGTGTGCTGATGAGTTAACTGGTGGCTGGTAGGCCCTAGGTAGCTTTAGGATGGGGGCTAGTCACCAGAAAGACCAAGGCAGGATTAGAGGATTGGGAGTCTCAGCCCCCACCAACCTCCAGGGAGAGAAGAGGGACTGAAGGTTAATTGATCATGAATGGTCAATGGTTTAATCAATTATGTCTACATAATGAAGCCTCCATAAAACCTGAGAAGGACAGGTAGCTTCCGGAGAGCTGAACACATGGAGGTTCCTGGAGAGTGGCACACCCAGAGAAGGCTTGGAAAATCCATGCCCCTTCCTCCATAATCAATTCTATGTATCTCTTCATCTGTATCCTTTGTGATATCCTTTACAATAAACCACTAAACATAAGTTTCCCTGACTCTTGTGAGCTGCTCTAGCAGATTGTAATCAAATCCAAAGAATGAGCCATGGGAACCCCAACTTGAAACTGGTCAATCAGAAGTTCGGAGGCCTAGACTTATGACTGGTAGGAGGGAGCAGCAGTCTTGGGGACTGAGCCATTATCCTTGGGGATCTGATGCTATCTCTATGTAGATCATGTCAGAACTGAATTAGAGTACACCCAGCTGGTGTCTGTTGCAGAACTGCCTGCTTGCTTGGTGTGTGGGGAGAAAACCCCTACACATATGGTCACAGAAATCTTCCATGTTGATTGTTGTTGTTGCAAGAATAGAAAAATCACTCTGAGTTTTGTTTTTTCTCACTCACAGATGGCATATATGCACAATGGAATATTATTCAGCCATAAAAAGAATAAAAGCCTGTCATCTGCGGCAATGTGGATGGAACTGGAAGCAAAATAAGCCAGGAACAGAAAGACAAATATTGTTTGTTCTCATTCAAATATGGAAGCTATAAAAGTGGATCTCATGAAGGTAGAGAGCTGATTGGTCAGTCTGGAAAAGGTAATAGGGAGGGAGGAGTGAAGAGAGGTTGGTTAATGGGTATAAAAATACAGTTAGATAGGACAAATAAGTTCCAATGTTCAATAAGAGTAGGGTGACTATAGCTAATAAGAATGTATTGTGTAGTTCAAAATACTAGAAGACAAGATTTGTAATGTTTCCAACATAGAGAAGAGATAAATGTTTGAGGTGACGGATAATTATTACCCTGATTTGATCATTATACGTTGCGTGCACATATCAAAATATCATATGTACCTCTCCAAATATACACAACTATTATGTACCAATAAAAAGAATGTCCTGACATCTGGAGTATCTATTTCATGCCCCAGGCTCCCTAGAACCAGTCTAATTATCTTCATCCCACGCCATCCCCACCCCTGCCATTTCCTGGTGGCTACTGCCAACTATCTGACTTGTTAACAGATAAATCAGCAGATGTGGAAAAAGAATGGTAAGGTCCTTGGGACCTTTTTGAGGCTTTCTCTCTGATGAACATTTGAAAAAGGAAGTTCTGGCATAAAAGATAGAGTAGTCTGAAGTTTTTCAAAGGTATAAATATTTAGATTTTTTAAAAAACTTACAGATTTTTATTTTCCAAAGTAATACTGGGTCTTTTTCCCCATATGTCAGGAGGACATCTACAAATACATCTTGCCTTAGGTCAAGAGCCACAAACTTTTTCTGTAAAATGCAGGCTTTGTGGGCCAAATACATCTCTGGCACATATTCTTTGTTGCTGTTTTAAACACTGCTTTAAAATTCTAAAAATCATTCTTAGCTGTGGGTCATATAAAAACAGGCCTTTGGGCAGATTTGGTTCACTGGCTGTAGTTTGCTGACCTCTAGCTTGAAGTCCAGCCACAAAGTATGGACAGAGTTGGGTACATGGATTTCAACTGAACACCTGTTCCCTTGGTCAAGCTTTCATCTCTGTTTGAACTGGAGTTTCTTTTTTTTTTTTTTTTTGAGTCAAAGTCTTACTCTGTCACCCAAGCCAGAATGCAGTGGCCCAATCACAGTTCATGGAAGCCTCAACCTACTGGGCTCAGGCAATCCTTCCACCTCAACACCACCCCATCCCTCCCTCCCCCTGCCAAGTAGCTGTGACTACAGGCGAGCACCACTATGCCTGGCTAATTCTTTTACATTTTTTTTTTACGAGGTCTCACTATGTTGCCCAGGCTGGTCTCAAACTCCCGCTTTGGTTTCCCAAAGTGCTGAGATTACAGGCATGAGCCACCGCGCCCAACCTGAACTGGGACATTTCTAAGGCACATTCAATGATCCTTTGACTATCTCCAGATTACCTAGCCAACCATTATTTCCCACTGTTGCCAAATGTGAACCCTGTCTTTATGCAAATGCCTCTGTATCACCTCAGCCTCAAGTCTTCTACACATCCCTGTGGCTCCAAGCATAGCATCCCCTTCCTGCCGCCATTTCTTTAGGCAATCCTCCAGGAGACAGTCGGCTCAAGGAGCCTAATGAGCGAGGGAAAACAGAGCCTGGAATAGCAATGTCTGCCCATGAAGAAACAGGGCAATCCAAAAGAAGTAAATTTACCAACCTGAGACAGGTCTTTAATCTTCTTGCAATTGATGCCTCCAATGAAGACCATGTTGGGCATGATGGGCCTGGGATACTCAAACACAAAGTCATATCTTAACAACCAAACAGAGCCCTTTTGATATAAGGTGCGTAAGGACACATCTTTCTTGAGGACATCTGATGCGAGGTCTTCATACTTTGAATGCAGACAATAAAAAAGAACAGGCTCCAACCAATGAACGAGGAAGTTGATCACCCGTTGGGGAAAAGTCATGTGGTCTGAAAACATTGTGTAGCATCTAGGAATGTAGGACACAGGGTTTGGGGTTCTGCTGACTGCATGCTCCAGGGCACATGGGAAGCCCCTGAAGAGGTACACCAGGGGTAGGCCTAGGTACTCAGCCAGGATCACACCACAGGGTAAGGCTGGGTCTGTGAAAAGAGCATCGAACTTGCCTTCCTTGAGGAAATGCAGGGTGTCAGTGTCCTTCAGGAGGCTCTGGCAGTTGAAGAAGAACATGTCAACAACAATCATGCTATTTTTGTACTCCACCTGAGGAGTAGCCAGGTATGATCTCTCAGCAAAGTGACTGTTTCCGAAGTAGTGGAAACGGTTCATCAGCTCTTCTTGGTCATATGGTACTGAATAGATTTTTCTTGTGTAGTATTTGGATTCTTTCAAAAGAAAATTGACTTCTGGCACCAGCACCACAATTTCATGCCCTCTTTCACTGAGAAACTCAATTATATCGTTCATACTAAGCCAGTGGCTTCCATCCAGGGGGTACACAAGCAGCTTGTCAGCTATAACTGTGCCCCAAAGTGCTAAGAAGAAAACCCCTGCAGAAATTCTCTGAAATGTACGAAGAAGGCAGGCCATCCTAGAAGGAATTAAAGTTACAACAATAATAAAGTTTACATGACCAGAGCTCCTAGCTATATTCCCTAAACTAACCGGTGCTCTTCACAGACCCTGCCTACCTTGCCCTTGCTCTGAATCTTGCCCTTTGATATGAAAGAGCCGAAATTAATATTTAACCATTTTTAAGCACACAGCAAATATGGACCAAATAGACCCTTTTCACCTCTGCCTCTAGATTTTTCTCCTCATCGCTACCAGTCGACTGCTTCCTCTCTAAAGGGTTATCACAACACTTTAAGGACAATTTAGACCCCTGGGGTACCCCTGCCCCCTTCTATTCTGAACTTTCTAGATGCTTCATCATTTGGTGATGCTCCATGATGTCCATAATGTATGGGGATTTTCTTCCATACTGACCAACTCTCTAACACCAGATGAGTGTTCTACAATTCCATTCAATGCTGACTCTAACCAAAGTTAGCACAGACCCCACAGGTTAAGGGCTCAGTTCCACGAGACTGCCCCCACTTCAGACACTAGTCACAAGTAGTAGGCCGCCAGATTACCCACAACTTTCACCTGACTTGGCTACAAATCAGAGGCTCACAAATCCTCCTTTTTGGGTTCAATCATTTGCTAAAGTGGCTCAAAGAACCAAAGAAAATAATATCCTTACTGGTTTAGTACAGAGAATATTACAGAGGATACAGATGAACAGCCAGATGAAGAAGCATAGAGGGCAAGATATGGGGAAAGGGGCATGGAGCCCCCATGTGCTCTCTGGGCACACCACCCTCCATGCCTTCAGCAACCTGGAAGTGCACTGAATCCTGTTCTTTTGAGTTTTTGTGTAGGCTTCATTACAGAGTAGGCAGAATTGATTAAAGCATTGGCCACCAGTGAAACTGCAGTCCCTGTCTTCTCTCCTCCCTCTGCCCACAAGGTTGGTTCCTCTGGCAAGGGAGGGGGAAGAAAGGGAAGGGAGGGAGGGAGATGGGAGGAGAGGAAAGAGGAAGGGAGGAAGGGAGGGGTCTGAGACTACTTCCTTTAAATTTACATAAACTCAGGCATGGTTGAAAAGGGCCTGTTTTGAATTCCATGAGACACTGTTCACCTTTATGGCTCCCATTACTTAAGAAATGACAAGGATTTAGGAGCTCTGGCCAGAAAATAAGAACAAACATCAATTTCTTATTATATATTACAATATCACAACATATAATCTGTTACTTGCCTTTAGGAGATTAAGATTTGAGAAGTGTAAGACTATCCAGTACGTGGTAAGAGCCCTCTGTAGGAGTCAGAAAGCCTGGTGTCTGCTTCCAGCCTGGCCACCCATCAACAAGGGAAGTGACTTGAGCTTTGATTTCTCAACTGATTTCTCAATTGAGACCTGGGATAGTCACATTGACCCTGCCAGCTAATCACACTACTGAGGGAAGTCTCAGAGATTAATAAATGTGGAAAACAGTGAGAGGAGGTTTCTAGAAATATGAGAGCTGACTCGCCCAGAGCTAGTCACGCACACTGATTGGCATGCAAGGCCCTGTGCTAACCCACGCCTTTGGCACAGGAGGTCATAGGGCCTGGAAAGGGAGTAAAAGCCTGAGGAACAGGATTGGAGGGGCCACTCCTAGCACAGGGTTGGTCCTGGGAATGCAGTCAGATTGCAAATTCATTATTCAAGGCATGCAAAAACTCAGCTCAGTTCAAACTAAGAGCAGTCTCCCAGGACTCCCTCCCAGCACGATGGCCAGCAGGGTTTCTTGCTTACAATGCTCAGTTCTGCTTTGGGTCTATCTAGATAGCAATAAGACCCCAGGAAGGTTGCAAAGAAAGCACAGTGCAGGTCCCTCCTTCTGTGGCAGGCAGATGCAAGAACAGTTCACCTGGAGGGAGAATCACTTAAGCAGGCATGCAGAAGCAGCAGGAGCAAGAAGTGCTACAAACCTCAGATTCTTTAACTGGACTCCACTCTGCTAAGGATATTGATCCGGGCCCTTCTGAGAAGAGCCTTACTCTGAAAATTGTATGGTTTTTCCATGGGTTCTATTCTTATTCCCAGCGGTCCCAAAGGGACACAGGGGAAGAAAAGGAACACCACTCTGTGTACTACACCCAGAATGATGCCCTGTAAATTAAGAAGGAATTAGAAAGCATTTCTCTTTTTCTGCCACGGCCCATGCAGCTATCTTGAGGGTCCCAAGACAGTGGTGAGAGATTAAGAAAGACACAGACACAAAGACATAAAGAAAAGCTGGGATCTGGTGGACACTTTCCTCTGATGAAGGAGAAGTGGCCCTGACTAGCTCAGCAAGTTTATTTTATAATCAAGCAAAAAGAAAGTTGGAAGGGACTCAAGGTCTGTGAGGGAGTGATAATGGAATTTTGCTGTTATCTAAAGGCGAGCTGTTCTGCCGTTATCTTGTTGTAGCTAAGGCTTTATTTGTGCTGTGCGCACCTGGATGTGTAGGCATCTAAGACACCATTTCATGTAGCAGGCTGCATCCCCTGACTTTGGCTAGGATACAGAGCTACCAAGTGAGAACTTGCCTTCGCTTGGGGCCTTTACTCAAGACCTGCTCCAGTGATAGTGCTCATCTGCTCCCTACATCACATCCGCTCCCAACATTCTTCCTTATGAAGTTTGACTATATTGTTTCTAAGAATGCTGTGTGTGTGTGTGTGTGTGTGTGTGTGTGTGTGTGTGTGCATTTCCATGCTGGACACTAGGAAGAAAAATCGGGCATGCCTGTTAGTCACAATGATGATCCCTAAAGAGAAACTGTCCTGGAGGCCCAGACCTGGCCTGAGTGGTGTTGTGGGACTCAAGGTATGCCCGGGCGTCACCATTTACCTGAGTGTCCAGGAAAGGCAAAGGCCAACTTCTTCTCAGGGATCACTGCAGACTAAATGACTGAGGCTTGGGACATACACCAATAGGGTGAGGGATGCAAATCCTAGGGTGAAGCCAATCTCTGTGGGTAAGGAGCAGATATCCTGAAAAGTGAATGGGAGTCACCTGGCATTTTGAATAGGGGTGACCCAAGGGTATACGGGAGGGTAATTTCATGTTAGGAGAAGGAGAGTATCTGGAAAAGTTGGCCCTATAGAGGAGTTCACTTCCTTGGCGCTCACTCTTCCAGACCCTTGTTCTACCCACAGCCCATGAGTAACAGAACCAGGACCTACCTACAAGATTTCAGAAATTTGCTGAATCTATAATCCTATAATGGCAAAATCAAATGAATAGATATTTTATTAAATGGCTATGAGAACATAAATACATGACAGCAAATTGCCTACAGTTCAACTCATCAAGTTACATAGACAGGATGTATGATGTGGGATATGGGGACAACTTAATCTGTTTGATAGGCTGTGGGTAGGGGTCTACAGGAGTCAGAGCGTTCTGGGTCTAGTCTTGGGGCAGGTCCAAAATGGTCAAGTATGAATCACCAGTGCAAGAGAGTATAACTTGTCTAGTTGAACATCTCCAGTGAGCACCTTTCCTACTCAGTGGACATTATGACTACCCAGAAGGTTGTAACAATGTGAGTGGTAGTCCCTGGAACCCAGGAGTGTGAGGAGGAGCACAGGCCACTAATTGAGCCATAACAAAGGGACTACTCCAAAGACATGTAAAGTAGGACTTCCACTTGTCTGTATGTACTAAAGAGACTCTGAAACACAAAGATGAAGGGGAAAAAATATGTCACACTTCCAAAAACCAAAGATCATGGGACATGCTCTTCGGCTTCATGCTGCACCCGCTGTCTTCTCTGCTTGGTACACTGTTCCCCCAACTTCTCCCAAGATTTCTCCTTCTCATCCTGCAAGACTTCCTATGATCAGTTCTCTTTCCATTGTCTAATTTTCTTTCAAAGTATACATCACAATGTGTAAATGATCAACATCTTCCTCATCACCAGATAGGAAAAGCCATACTCATTTGATTATGGACATATCTCCAGCACCCAGCCAGGCATGCAGAGGCCCCCAACAGATATTTGTTGAACGAAGGACCTTTACTATCAAATAATTTTTAAAGTCCAGCTGCAAGTTGTTCTGTAACACCAACAAAGTGAACTCATGTGTTTTGAGCAATTAGAGACCATGGAATGGAGGTCAAATCCTCCCTGGACACATTTCACTGCAAGTGACAATTCCCAAAAGGCCACAGGCAAGACATTTCCCAAGAAGTTTCCTGTCTAAACAGGGAGGCAGCCAAATACAGAGTTAGGCGCAAGGGCTCTAAAATCAGAATGTCTGAATTCATTGTACACAAATGTTCATAGCAACATTATTTATCTTAGCTGAACCATGAAAACAACCCAAATGTCCATCAACTGATGCACAGAAAAACACAATGTGGTAAATTCATACAATAGAATGCCATTCAACAAAAAAAACAGTACCGATTCATGCTACAACATGGATGAAACATGAAATTGAGTGAAAGAAGCTCGTCATAAAGGACTACATATTGTGTGATTCTATTTCTGTGAAATGCCCAGGATAGACAACTCCATAGAGACAGAAATTAGTGCCTAGGGGTGGGATAATAGGGGAAATGAGGAGTAAATGCTAATAGGCATGACATTTCTTTTTGGGGTGAGGGAAATTATCTAGAATTAGATAGTGGTGATGGTTGCTCATATCTGTAATTATACTAAACACCACTGAATTGTACACTTTAAGAGGGTGAATTTTATAGTATGTAAAGTATATCTCAGTTTTTAAATAAAGATTGTCTGGGTTTGAATCCTGGCTACAGCATTTATGCTACAACATGGATGAGCATAATCTTGGGGAAGTCTCTCAACCCCTCAGTGCCTCTGTTTTCTCATCTGAAAAATGGGTCTACTAATAATGCCAACTTATGTATAAGTGCATAGGGTAGCACTTGGCATGTGGTAAGCATCCACTATATGTTAGCTTTTATTATATTTAGTTTGTAAGCTCTCCTTAAAGGGACAATCCACCCATGTGAAAGTTAAATAATTCATGGGAGGCTTGCACCAAGAAGAGAATACGGACATCTGATCATGTTGTTTTGAAGAGATTCTGAATGCATGACTAATATTATTAACATTGGGGAATTTGGAATAATTGTACTGAAAAATGCATATCACCCACCGAATTACGGCTATTGTTTATTCATTGCCACATACCAGGCATCTGCATACATTATTTTCTTTCTTTTTTTTTTTTTTGAGTTGGAGTCTCACTCTGTCGCCCAGACTGGAGTGTCACTGCAGCCTCCTTGCGCCTCAGCCTTCCAAGTAGCCGGAATTACAGGCACACGCTACCATGCCCAGCTGATTTTTTTATTTATTTATTGTAGAGATGAAGTCTCGTCAAGTTGCCCAGGTGGGTCTCGAACCCGCAGGCTCAGGTAATCTACTCACCTCAGTCTCCCAAAGTGCGGGATTACAGGCTGAGCCACCGAGCCCGGCTACATTATTGTATTTCATCTGCATAACAGCTCTGTGTGCTGGTACTATTTTATCCCCATTCATTTGACCTATTTAGAAACTGTGGTTCCCACCCAAGGTTATGTAAGTTCCACAACTGGAGTATCAATGAAATCAAGTTTGGATGGCTCCAGAATCCATGTACTCAGGTCAATCACCTGCTAAAGTACGCTAGTGTTGAAGCCACGACTTGGGTGCAAGTTCCCTGCCTCATTAATTAGTCACTGACATCTGCAATGCAAGAGTCGACCAGTAGGATGTCCTTTCTTTCTTGTTGACCCCTCTGTGGTTCATGCTAAGAAAGTGACAGAAAGGAAAGACACAGGTGACACAAAAAAGAGACATAGAAAAGAGGAATGGAATTGTGAAGGGAAAGTGACAGGTGAGCTAGAGAGAGAGAACGAGAGAGAGAGAGAGAGAGACATAAAATAGCCAATGTTGCTAGGAGAGAGAGAGAGAGAGACATAAAATAGCCAATGTTGCTAGGAAAGGGAAGATTATGGATGACCTAAATAGCTCATAGGGTTGGGAGTGAGATAGCAGGTCACAGGGCACCATTCAAATATTTTGAGTGGGCCAAAGAGGTAGTATGGATGTTTGGTACCAGGCTTTGGGTAGATAAAAGGAGAGCAAAGCTGGTTTAAAAAAAAAAACACACAGCAGTAATCCACACTTGACCTTTGATGCCAGGAATTTCAGAGTTATAGAAATAGTAAGTGCTGAGACAGATGGAAACTCCACCTGGGTTTCACCTCTTTCACTGATCTATATATAAAAGCCATTTTTGAGACAATTGGGAGAAATTTAATCATGGACTAGAAATGAAATAACATTAAAGACTTATTGATTGTATCATGTATGAT